CTTGTCTTCTTTCCTTCCCTCTCTTCTCCCCCTGTCCCTCGCTTCCTCCCTTCCTTCCCTCCCTCCCTCTCTCTTCCCTTCCTTCCCTTCTTTTCCTCCCTCCCTCCCTTTCCTACTTCCTCCCCCTCTCCCTTCTTCACTTCCCCTTCCCCTTCCTTCCTTCCTTCCTTCCCTGCTCTCATCTCTTTTTTCTCTCTCCCTCCATTTCTTCCTTCCTTCCTTCCCTCCATCTTTCCTTCCCTTCTTTTCCTCCCTCCCTCCTTCCTACTTGTCTTCTTTCCCTCTCTTCTCCCCCTGTCCCTCGCTTCCCCCCTTACTTCCTTCCCTCCCTCCCTCTTCCCTTCCTTCCCTTCTTTTCCTCCCTCCCTCCCTTTCCTACTTCCTCCCTCTTTCCCTTCTTCCCTTCTTCCCTTCCCCTTCCTTCTTTCCTTCTTTCCTTCTTTCCTTCCTTCCTTCCTTCCCAAAACCAACCTTAGCACACTTGCTAAAATTACACATCGATTTACATAAGACAGAGCCCTTTCCAGACCAGTAATAATAAATTATGTGCTCGTGGAATGGATGCTGCATGCTTCATTTATTTTTAAATCCACTTCCATTATTTAACAAACAAGCCACATCAATCTAATTGTCCATTTAATGGAGCTGAAAAACATATTGACGCTCTTGGCCAACCCGCCCACCCCAAACCATTCAGTCGGGTCTGCCCCATTCCTGCACGCTTGCAAAGTCACATGCCCCCCCTCAGATGACCAGAGGCAAAGGGAGGGGGGAGAACTGGCCATGCTAAAGGACCTGGGCTTTATCGAAATATTTAAAACAAGAAAAGGGTGGAGGAGAAAGGGGAAAGGGACCCGTTTCCTAAGAAAATTGGCCCTTGCAGGGTTCATAATTCCTCTTTAGGAAAACAAGAGGCGGATTTAGACAGCAGAAGAGTTAAAGAATTTGCTTACTGCTGCTTGCAAAATGCATAGAATCCAGTAAAACCAAATCTATTACCCCGGCATTTGGTCTCCACATTATAAAAAAGACGTTGAGACTCTAGAAAGAGTGCAGAGAAGAGCAACAAAGATGATTAGGGGACTGGAAGCTAAAACATATAAGGAACGGTTGCTGGAATTGGGTCTGTCTAGTTTAATGAAGAGAAGGACGAGGGGGGACATGATAGCAGTCTTCCAATATCTCAGGGGCTGCCCCAAAGAAGAGGGAGTCAAGCTATTCTCCAAAGCACTTTCTGAAGGCAGGACAAGAAGTAAAGGATGGAAACTGATCAAGGAGAGATTCAACCTGGAAATAAGGAGAAATTTCTTGACAGCGAGAACAATCAACCAGTGGAGCAGGAGTTGCCTTCAGAAGTTGTGGGAGATTCACCACCAGAAGCTTTCAAGAAGAGACTGGACTGTCATCTGTCAGAAATGGTGTAGGGTCTCCTATCCTAGACCAGGGGTAGGCAACCTTGGCTCTTTTATGACTCGTGGACTTCAACTCCCAGAATTCCTGAGCCAGCCATGCTGAGGGGAAAGGGAGAGGTTTCCAAGCTGAGCCGTGCTGGCTCAGGAATTCTGAGAGTTGAAGTCCACAAGTCATAAAGAGGCCATAGTTCCCCCACGCTGGCTGAGGAATTCTGGGAGTTGTAGTCCACGAGTCATGAGGGAGCCATATTTCCTCCATGCTGGCTCAGGAATTCTGGGAGTTGAAGTCCACGAGTCATAAAAGAGCCAAGGTTGCCCACCCCTGCCCTAGACCATTTCAAATTGGATGGCTGTCCAATCTCTTCTTAAAAACCTCCAGGGATGGAGCACCCGCAGCTTCTGGAGGCAGGTAGTTCCACCGGCTAACTGTCCTCACTGTCAGGAGATTTCTCCTTCATTCTCGGCTGCTTCTCTCCTCGATGAGTTCCAACTGAGCAGCATCGCTCCTCCTGCGTTATCATTTCACATCCCTGGTCAGCAAATGGCTGTTTTTCCTCGGTTGAACAACTTGCGTTTGCTCGAATCTAGCCCAACGCCAAGTGTATGCTTTTTAATTTTTTTATTTATTTTTACACGGGGTTTCACGCTTAACATTTTAATGAGCTCCGGAGGTGACGCGAGACAGGGAAAGAAAAATCCACACCGGGCAAGTCACTGCCCTTGAAGCACAAAGCGGGAGACGCTCTCCCCCAGGACCCAGCCCTACCGTCTCACCCCTGGCCCTCAAGATATTTGCCACCTGGTTCTAAGCCCGTCCCCCCCCCACCCCGCCCGCTGCCCCTTCTCTCGTTCCCCTTCTTTTCATAATCAAAACACCGCTGACATTCGAATCCCAGGTGGGTCTTCTGAAATCCCTTCCCATCGATCCCGCGGACAACGGATTGGAGACATCGATTGGGCTGGGTTTCGGCACCAAAGTTTTCAAAATAAATGAGCCGCAGCGACAGAAAGGCTGCTCCCTTGGGGGACGGACACACATACACACACATACACACACACACCGAGCAACAGAGAGAGGAGACTGAAGCTCAACGGGGAAGAAAGGTTCACAAAACAACTCTGCTCTTCACAATTCTAGCTCGATGGTGCACCTCAAGACTAGGAGAAGGGGAGATGTTCGCCTAGCCCAGGAGTAGGCAACCTTGGCTCTTTTGTGACTCGTGGACTTCAACTCCCAGAATTCCTGAGCCAGCCACGCTGAGGGGACAGGGAGAGGTTTCCAAGCTGAGCCATGCTGGCTCAGGAATTCTGGGAGTTGAAGTCCACGAGTCATAAAAGAGCCAAGGTTGCCTACCTCTGGCCTAGGCCGCTTCATGACTCGTGGACTTCAACTCCCAGAATTCCTGAGCTAGCATGGCTCAGCTTGGAAACCTCTCCCTTTCCCCTCAGCGTGGCTGGCTCAGGAATTCTGGGAGTTGAAGTCCACGAGTCATAAAAGAGCCAAGGTTGCCTAGCCATGGCTTAGCCAAGCAGGAAATGTCAGATGTGACTAGGAAGCTGACTCAAGAGCGAAAGTTCTTGAGAAGAAGGCTCAACCGTCTTCTACATGGACATCTTTGAATGGAGAAAGGAAAGGGGAGAGACCTTGATCACTTCAATGAGAAATGGGCAGATTTGGTCTTCAGATAGAATAGAATAGAATAGAATAGAATAGAATAGAATAGAATAGAATAGAATAGAATAGAATAGAATAGAATAATAGAATAGAATAATAGAATAGAATATAGAATAGAATATAGAATAGAATAGAATAGAATATAGAATAGAATAGAATAGAATAGAATAGAATAGAATAGAATAGAATATGAAATAATTGGAATGGAATGGAATGGAATAGAATAGAATAGGGAATAAGAATAGAATAGAATAGAACATAGAATATAGAATAGAATATACAATAGAATAATAGAATAGAATAGAATAGAATAGAATAGAATAGAATAGAATAGAATAGAATAGAATAGAAGTCTGGAAGGGACCTTGGAGGTCTTCTAGTCCAGCCCGCTGCTCAAGCAGGAGATCCTGACCTATACCATCTCAGTCTCTTTTT